GATAGATAGATAGATAGATAGATAGATAGATAGATAGATAGATAGATAGATAGATAGATAGATAGATAGATAGGGCTGTACTGCTAAAGCTCTTCCTCTATATCTTACAGGAATAAAAGCAGCGATAAATGACAGGCCTGCAACAAAGTACCTCTGGATGATGGCAGCTGACTCCACCTCGTTTTTTCTCCTCTTTCTCTCTGCTAGACTCCGGAAAACCCTGGCAGGAGGTGACACAACTTTGATGCCAGTGAGGACGAGGGCTCACCGAAGTGTGGTTAGAGGTTAGAGCCATGCTCATGAAGGGGCAATGTTAGGCTGGGGTTAGGCAGGAGGAGCTCCTTATGGGTAAAAAAAGGTTCCGCCAACGAGCAGAGCCTCGGATTGGATCGAATGAACGGGACTTATGCCACCACACACTGGTCATATCTTGACATTCCTGATAGCATAACCAACAGTGTCACCTACAGATTGATATTTCTTACACATCCAGAGACTCGATTTCTCCTTACAAATAAATAAAAGAAGTAAATAAAAAAAACACTTCAGATACACACCTGCAATTCAACATGCTGTTCAAAACCATATGAAATTATCTCAAGGGACACTTAACATTTCTAGATAAACAACTCAACTCAAAATCAGCATCAGCATCAGCATCTGTCAGCATTTCTAAACCATCCAAGACAACTACATATGTGTCTCTGGCTGAGGTAATCAGAATTATTCAGACCAGCCTATCAAATGCGTTTCTAAGCCATTTCTTGAATCAAAATGCTTCGCAGCATTTCGCACCACTAAAGCAACATCATCAGTCTTTCCCTCAGGTTTTCAAACCAAGCGCATTCTGATTCATTTATACATCAAGGTAAAATCATTTTACTTCAGTTTCATCAACTTGACAGCGGTTAAACGGCGCTTTCCTCGGTTCGTACACACAAGCACTGTTTGAATGGGACTAGTTACTCTGAGAAGATCCAAAAAGACAGGCGTGTTCTTCCTCACAATCTCAAATTACGAAGCAATTACGAAAAAAATTACAGAGCAAATTACCTCAGAGATCCTTTGAGAAATCGAATCCCTTCCGGATAGGAATGTTTGTGCTTGTAGTAAATAATTTTTTCTACTTCACTGCTTCTCATTTGTTTCAAACACCATCAAATATTGTAAATAGGGCTAAATTTGTGGGACTGGAGGGATGGCAGGGTAGGCTGTGCTGGGGAAGCTATAGCATTTGACATCACACACTCATTTTGTGACATTTAAAGGGTACAAAAGGGATACTCACGAAATCCTGTAGAGCGGAGAGGTGAGGCAAACAAAATGGAGAGAAAAAGAGACAGAAAGCTTAGATAACAGCCATGTTTGAAGAAAGTGTGTGGTCAGCGTGTACTTGTCAGTTTGACAGTAAATGTCACTAAATGAATGTGTGTTAGTGGTGAGACTCCTGTTGTGCCATCTGTACTTGGTCAATATAGGCGTCTAACTTCAGTGTGTGTTAGTGTGTGTGTGATGAAGTGAGTACTCACGCCTGCATGGTCGTTGTAGCAGTCTGAAAGCTGAACATGTTTTCTTTAGGGAACCAACTGTTATCTTCTGGTTAGAAACAGGCATAAGAGACCACATTAGTACAGTTGAAATGATGTATCTGAATATATGAATTGCATAAAACTGAACAAACATATACAGTGGCCCCAAAAAGTACTTAGACACGTAAGCCACATTAAAAAATGCAGGAGTTTCATTGCAATAGACAACACGATATCAAACCAAAACAGCTCTCAAATGATGCTAGATTTACTATTCTTAGCAATCTTTGCAATTACTTTTAACTATATAATAATACACATACTGTATATACATAGGCCTATATACATACATACATACATACACACACATACATACATACATACCAACACACATATTGTATTAACAAATGTATAGCATGAAAAGTGACCTTGTGCAATTTTAATAAAAATAAATGGCACTTGGTTGATCATCTATCATCTAATGACACATCTATATTTTTAAATTAATGTTTGGGTTCAAAACAAGTTAAGCTCAATTGCAAGTATTTGTTTAAAGTCGATTACTACAGAAAATCATGTTGGCTCGTCCCTTAATTTTTCCTTTTGTTGTTGTTTTAAAGAAAGCAAAAAACATGGTAAAACGAAGCACATATACAGGTGCATCTCAATAAATTAGAATGTCGTTACTTCAGTCTGTGTGCATTGAATTTATTTAATACACGAGTTTCACAATTTGAGTTGAATTACTGAAATAAATGAACTTTTCCATGACATTCTAATTTATTGAGATGCACCTGTAATAGAAGTCAATAGTGCTAGTGAAATGTGAAGCACCTTTTTTAATCTGTAAAAATGTGCATTATTTGAGCGTCTAGTATTCTAGACAAATGAACTTCTCGTTATTCATCAAAGACGCATCTGGGTATCTGTGGGTTGTTGCCAGTACATCAACAGAGACATGTTGTCAGATGAAGGCATAGCAGATGACTTTGTTTCTATCTGATTTTCAATTGTCAGACCTTGTGAATGCATGCAAACAAGAAAGAGACGTTTATGTCTATCTGCTGATTCTAGACAACTGGAAAACTACCTGGTTAGCTTGATCTCAAAGTCAGGAAATGATTCCATCACATCAGTCTAATGAATAATATTGAAGTGTCATGGCTGTACTGTACGTGTGACTAAACTAAAAAGCATTTTATTCCTGTGGCTCAAACAATAGAGAATGGCAACGCCAAGGTCATGGGTTCGATTCCCAATGAATGCTTGAACTAAATAGTCTGACTTGTATCATGGTAACATGTATAATAAAGAGAAAGGAAAACTTGAAATCACATCATATGACCCCTTTAAGTGCCATTGCTGTACAACACTATTGGCTAAAATAAAAGCATTTTTTATTCCTGTTGCTCAAACAGTAAAACATGGCGGTAGCAACACCAAGGTCATGGGTTTGATTCCCAAGGTATGCATGAACTGACACAAATGTATACCTTAAATTCAATAGATATTGGATGCAATTGGGAAAAAAGTGTCTGCCATATGCATTTCAGGGCTCAATTTACTATCAGCAAGTGCCTCACTATAACCACAATTTCTGCTTGTTTTTAAAGAAAAATGCCCAAATGCTGTTGATTGAGCTTTACTTTTGAACCTGAAACATTCCATTAAGTGTAGTCTAAGCATCCAAATACTTTCTGGGGCCACTGTGTGAAGATCCACCAGCAACAACATACACACATGGTCCACTCCACAGAGGGAGAGAGAACAAAAGAGACACACAGGAGAGAGGAGAGAGACACAGGAGAGCGGGAAAAATACAGACATCGAACACATCGACGCCCCTGTTGTTGGCTGAACCCCACCCCTTCCCCTTGGCCAGAGCCTCACTCTCTCTTTCTCTCCCCTGTCGCTCTCCCCCTCTCACCTCGCTCCAGCCCAGTCATGCGGTCCACACTGCACATCCGCTCTAGTGGTGGCCGGCGCTGCTTGCCTGCCTCTCGAGTGCTGCTTTCCAGGTCCAGGGAGCCCTGGCTGCGCGAGGGAGCCCCGGCACAGGCCTCGCATGCCAGGCCGCATTCCTTTCCCTCCCCCCAGCCGCGGATGTTGTGCGCGCTGACCGAGCTCTGCAGCGGCTGGGAAAGGTGGTGTTGGTGATGGGGCTCCCCGTGGTGATGGTGCGACGTTCCTGCACCAGAGATGTGCTGGTGGGGGTTTGATCCACTAGTTCCGCTGCTTCCACCTCCGCTGGTGTAGCTGTGATGGTGGTTGCCGTGATGATGGTTTCCGGATCCACTTCCACTTCCATGGTGGCGGTGGTGGTGTTGGGTCGGAGAAGATGAGTTGGAGGACGTACAGGGCTGATATGCCTCCTGCGTCCCTTTCAAGACCTCGAGCTCCAGGTTCTCCTTGCTTCCCCGGCTGGTTCCCAGCATGCCGCTCTCTCCAGTGATGGTGTAGACCTGAGCAGGCTGCAGGGCGCACTCCACACACTTCAGCTGGTCCTCCTCTGCCGAAAAGCTGCGCTCTAGGGACAGCCGGCTCTTGGAGGAAGTTGTCGGAGGCGGCGGTTCCACAAGGCCCAGGGCGGGGTTGATCAAGCTGGGGTCGGCGCCGATGGTGGAGCCCTGGAGGGTGCAGCTGTGGAAGTTGTTGTTCTGAGTGCACAGGCTGTCTGGGGAGTCAGAGTCGTGGCCAACGAGGGTGTCAGACAGTAAGTGATCTTCAAATCAAACATTAGGACAGATGCCAAGAGAAAGAGAGAGGGACAAGTGAGAAACAGCAAGAGATGCACAGAGAAAAAGACAGATGAGGTAACACACGCTACATTAAGAAGTGGCACAGTTCCTCATGAAACATGAACGCACCTGGAGTCTGAGAACATCACAGGCTCTGAGTGGACTGGAAAAAGAAGAGCGGAAAGAAAGAGGATTGGAGATAACTGACCTGATCCGTTGCGGTTCTCAGGATGGGTGTGAAGGTACTCTCCGAATGCACGAGCTGCTCTGCAAAAAACACACACATTTGTCATTGGCAGGCCCACACTGTAAACACAGTCACGGATGAAGGATAGTGTTAGGCACGACATGCTGTGAAGTCACAAGCAAATGACTTGGTTCTATTAATGCATTGTTCAAAAAGACTCACAAAGCATTACAGGCTTGAATCAGTCTGACAAATTTTTTTATCAAATTAGCAGTTAGACTCACTTACTGAACTGCAAGTTATCACTATATTCAATGCTGTCAATCTCGAAATTAAGCTTTGAGTACTTTTGAGTGCTTAAAGGCATAGTATACCCAAAAATGTCAACATTACTCACCAAACCTTTTGAAATACAAAAAAAGAGGATATTTTGTAGAATGTTGGTAACCAAACAGTTTTGGTGTCCATTGACTTCCAAGTGTACTGAAATATGTATGAGGTTTATCACATGAGAGTGAATTCTGGCATAATTAAATTTTTTCAGTGAATTATCCCTTTAAGGTTTCGGAAACATCAGTTCAAATCATTACTGGCTGATTGTTTAATGACAATGCATAGCTAAAATATACATTTGCAATAAATATTTTAATAAAAAAACAAACAAACCCGTAATAGAAAAGTACTCTCAGCTCCATTTAGCACATTTCACCATGTGATATCCATTCTGCAGATTTCCACACATTTTCTACTGAAATCAGCTTAGTCATCAGGCTACAAAACCATAGAAGCATCACACAGTGTAATCCAGAACTGCATAATCCAATGACCCTGTCAGCAGCTGATCATATTTAACATTTACTGCAATCCTTTCATTGCTTAAATCCTGTTTTAATGAATTAAGCCCATCATGATGTCTCTTTTATAAGAGAACTTCAGAGCATTCAAGCAAGCATTAACGCAAACCTGCATTTTAAAACATGTATGCATCTGCATACATTTAAACATTATATCACTATATTTATCATTTTATTTGGATTTAATTATTACTTTAATTAGGTTTTGTGTGCTAAAGCAATCATAATTTTGTTTTTTTTAATGCCCGTGACCGTGAGAGGCACTCACACTGACACTAATAAGAGTTTATTTGTTGCTGTGCCTTTAAGACTTCTATGTAAATATCCTTTTCACATATGACAGCACTTTGTTCTGGCAAATTAAACTCTTTTATGTACCAAAGATCGAGTAAATTAGATTTCTGATGATATGGCCCCTTTTAAACAACCATTTTTCCCCACAAATGAACACGAGAAAACCATTCTAGACATAGTCTAGAATGGACGATGGTTCCTTGTATGTCCTACTTCCGGATCCAGCTGTCAGTTTCTCTCACTTCTTTTTCAATTTGAGAAATGACAGGCCCAGTATGGACTACTCTTAGCCTCTTAATGTCACCTGCTAAGCTGACACCAGCCTCGGGTATAAAGGGCTTTCACAGGGATATGAGTAATGCTCTGCATGCGGCAGCTGTCTGCATCGGGAGGTTTGACAGCCGGACTTCTCAAACTTGAGAATGTGGCTCGGCTTCTGCAGTGTGAAGGCTGAAATGAGGGGCAGGCATGTGGAAACACATGTGACTGTGAAAAAGGGGCATGTGGCAGAAAAAAAGGTGGGAAAACAAGAGTGGGGAGAGGAAGGGAGAAAGAGAGAGGAGGAGGAGGAACAGAGGAACACGCGCTGTGTAAATGTAATTGGTTGCTTTGTATTTCAGAGCCACCCACAGATTCAGATGTAGCGTTTTTATCTTTCCAGTCCAATAGGAAGAATGTGGGAGAATGATGGATTTGAAGGGTGAAAAAGGGACAAACAGAGACATGGAGATAAGTAGAAATATGAATGTGAAAATATAAATATATAGTAAATTAAATAACTACATATATAATAAAAACTGTGAAATTAAGAAAAATAAACATGATTTTCAGCATTTCTTTTACCATTTTAATCACCTTTTTTCAGTTATACGGTAATAAAAAAGTGAATGTATAATAATTATAAATAATTTAAAATCATAACAATAATCATAATAAAATATATAATGAAAAATATTTTAAGAAAAAAAAATTTAAAGAGGAGAATAGAATGTCATGTCGCATGTCGTGTAAACTACTATAATAATAATTATATACCATGTATACCATGTCATTGCATATCATATCACCTACTATATAAAAAATAAGAAATAAAAAAATAAAGCAAGTATAGCATGTCACACTGAAGGTCATGTCAACTACTATAATAATTTTTTTTTATTTTATAAAAAATGTTATAAAAAATTAATTATTTTTAAATAATTAAAAAAGAAAAATAGTTTAAAATTAGTACATGTCACTGCAGGTCATGTCAACTATAATAAAATAATAAATAAATAAAATAATTTAAAAAAGAAATTTTAAAAATTAGCATAAGGTCACACTGCAGGTTACATCAACTACTAAAATAAAATAATTATAAAAATATAAAAAACATTGTTTAAAATTAGTATAGCATGGCACGCTGCAGGTCATGTCAACAACTATAATTAAACAAGAATTTACAAATAATATTTAAAAAAAATGTTTTAAAATAAAATATCATGTCATGCTGCAGGTCGTGTCAACTACAGTACTATAAAATAAATAAATAAATAAATAAATAAGGTTACAAATGAGTATAGCATGTCAACTACCTGGATATAAAAAAGGTACCTTTATTATCTGCATGAGTTTCTCTCAAATATAGCCTACAGAAAATGATCTTCATCAGAACATGATAACAGCTTTGATTGGTTTGAATTAAAGGCTCATGAATAACAGTGATGCAAATGATCAGCTGCTCGATAACTTCAAGAGATGCTCAAAACCTCATTCATACCAAAGTAAGCACTAATTTGACACTTAATTCACAGTCGGCTATAAAGAGAGCATCAAAGGTGGAGTGAGAGAGAAAACGAACGTCACAACGCTTCCCACAGGAAATATTTGTCACCACTGGCCCATTGTAAACAGCAGGAATCAAAGAGACAGAAAGAGAAACACTAATTAGTTCGGGCCAGAGGGGGTATCATCAGTAACAATCGATAACACTGACTGAGAATTATGGGAAATGATTCAGCCAATCAGAACAGACGATTAAGATTTGAATAAATAATTAAGCCAGATAACCAAAGACACTTTGGTGGTTCCCATTTCATACACTCTTAAAAATAAAGATGCTTCACGATGCCATAGAAGAACCTTTTTGTCTAAATGGTTCCATAAAGAACCTTTAAGATCTGAAGAACCTTTCTGTTTCACAAAAGGTTCTTTGTGGCGAGGTAAGAAAAAGAAAAAGGTAAGAAAGAGATGGTTCTTTGTGAAACCAAAAATGGTTCTTCTATGGCATCACTGTGAAGAACCTTTAAAGCACCTTTATTTTTAAGAGTGTAAGTGCATATTGACGCCTCGATAATAAACGAACAACAGCTTATTCTGTTCCGCATACGGTGGCTTTGGCACTGTAAATCACCGGGTGAGTCATTGCTTTTCGGGAAGCTGATTCAATCTTCTAGGAGACATGATGGATGAGTCCTTAATATGCTCTGCCTGAACCCGTTTTCACCACACAGACAAATATTTGCATGCAACAACACATGCTTTCATACCTTTTAATGTATCTAATGAACCTGTTCTGCACAATATATGGCCCACACATAATCACATCCATTCCCCACGCACGGAAAACCCACTCCGATCTCAATATTGCAACCTCCTCCACAGAAGCTGTCACACGCCCTGGGATCGTTCCACAGGGATCCCTGGTGGCTCGCAGTCACCCTGACGTAACGTTCAACAACACGACACTTGTGACAGCACTTTAAATTATTCAGTTTTGCCATAACAGCTCATGTTGAACCAGGTCATTCTCGCCCGCTTCGTAGCAAGCATCCTCTAATGCAACAGGGTTAATTGGAGTGCTAATTCAGTCTGAAGAGCCACATACTTGACCTGAAGAACAGGGGAATGCAGTAAGCATGCTGCCTACATAGGAAGCTTACTACTTAGGGAGAATCCTAACTAGCATGTAAGTGACAGATTTGGAAGCCTCTACATAAATGACGCACAAAATTTTGACTGATTTGATGTTATCATGATCTTTGAGTTCAGCTCATGAAAAATGGGGGCAAAAACAAAAGTGTTGCGTTTATAATTGCGTGTATATAGTATAATCGATACTATGCAGTAATAAATTAAATATGAATGTTGGATTATTTTACTGAGCTGTAAAATTAAACAACAACATTAGCATTACAATTAAAAATGAATAAATATACATTTTAAATAAATAACGCCCCTTACCATAATCGCGAGCTTCACCTTTCAAAATAAATGAAGACAAAGACAGTAAATAATTATTTACAAAGACAGTAAATAATGTCATTAGTTTTCAGGGATCTTATCTATTCATAAACAGCTTGTAACACTCCAAAGAGAAAGGAAAACTTGAAATCGCATCATATGACCCCTTTAAGGTAAGCATCCATCTGTTCTTGAGCACTACAATTTTACAATCAACTAAATGCCCCAAGAGAATGATCATATTAATAAAATATCAGAAAAAATACAGGATAAAATACTTTTTTTGCACAAATTATACATTTTGAATTACACACTTGCACCGTTTTTTTACATTTCAGTATTAATGCTATTATGCAGTAGTGAATGAAATTTGAATCTTGGATTTTCCACTGAGCTTTAAAATTAAAGCTCTTTTTTCCCCCCAATTAAAATACATAAATTAAAGAAATACAAATAAAAGTTCAATTTAAAATAAACATTTTAAATTATATCCACTCTTGTGTGCTAAAATTCTACATTGCTTCCTTTTCTCTTAGCTCCTTTGATTAACATCAGCTAGACGTCCCAAGCTGAGGGAATTATCATATTAATAAAATGTGGTAGATCAGAGAGCAAATACTCCAACCCAGGTGGTTTCTCCAGCACTGCAATTGACTGAGGAACCGTAATACCTGATAATACAACTGCAGATTGATCAGAATGCGAAGGGA